CCGCCAGTTCCACTCGGTGCCGGCGGCGTGGCAAGCGCGCATGGAGAACCCCGTGGACGTCAAGGAGCTCATCCCCGAGTTCTTCTACTTCCCCGAGTTCCTGGAGAACCAGAACGGTGCGAGGTGGCCCCGGGACCCGTGCAGGACGTCTCCGTGCCATCACCACGGGTTTCCAACCTTTCCAACCACTGTGGGTTCTTCCTGCAGGCTTCGACTTGGGCTGCCTGCAGATGTCCAACGACAAGGTGAGCGACGTGGTGCTCCCGCGCTGGGCCCGCTCCCGAGAGGACTTCATCTACCAGCACCGGAAAGCCCTGGTGAGACGGCCCTCTCCCAGCACCCCCTGGCCTCCCGAATCCGTTGGGATTTGGGGCAGGGGGGACAGCACAGCCCTCTTTGATGCCGTGTCTCTGCACAGGAGTCGGAGTACGTCTCGGCCCACCTGCACGAGTGGATCGACCTCATCTTTGGCTACAAGCAGCGGGGCCCGGCCGCCGTGGAGGCCCTCAACGTCTTCTACTACTGCACCTACGAGGGTGAGTTGCAGGGCTGAGGAGGGCACGGGCACGCGCGTGCCAGTGTCCCCATCCCCGTCCTCATCCTCGTCCCCATCCCCAGGGGCTGTGGACCTGGACGCCATCGCCGACGAGACGCAGAGGAAGGCTCTGGAGGGCATCATCAGCAACTTCGGGCAGACGCCTTGCCAGCTGCTCAAGGTAGCACTGGGGAGGACGGGCATCCGGATGGCCATCCCGAGCCACGGGATGCCCTGGTCCTCACGGCCCTGCGCCCTCCTGCCCGGCAGGAGCCCCATCCCGCGCGCCTCTCCGCCGAAAACGCCGCCCGCCGCCTGGCCCGCCTCGACACCCACTCGCCCAACGTCTTTGAGAACCTCGACCAGCTCAAGTCCTTCTTTGTGGAGGTAAGGGCAGTGCCGGGAAATGTGGGGTGGCAAGAGGGACCTGGGGGACTGGCAGCGAGGAGGGCACCCACCGGCTCTGGTTGCTCCGCAGGGCATCAGCGATGGAGTGGCCTTGGTGCAAGCCGTGGTCCCCAAGAACCAGGCCCATTCCTTCATCACTCAGGGATCCCCCGACGTCCTGGTGAGTGCGGGGCTCAGTCCGAGCTGCGGATCCCGCTCCCGGGTGCGCCAGGAGCCCCATCCCACGCAAGTGCCATCTCCACCTCTCCCCAGGTCACTGTGAGCGCCAACGGCTTGCTGGGGACCCACAACTGGCTGCCCTATGACAAGAACATCTCCAACTACTTCAGCTTCACCAAAGACCCCACCGTCTCCAACACCAAGTGAGTCCAACGCGTGCCCAGCGTGGGCACTGGAGCAAGCACCAGCACCCAGATGCCCAACAATCTCAATTAGAGCGTGTTTTTTCTCTTGTCTGTTTCCTTGGATAGCTAAGTGGGTTTTTTTTTGTGCAAAGCTCCTATAAAAGTTAAGGACATCATTTTAGACCCTTGCAAAACATGCTAGTCCAGATAGGTACTTAGAAGGGAAGCTTGGACTGAAATCCCTTTAAAAAGCTTGAAAAGCTCCAACTTCCTGGCTGTATTTGAGCTGGTTCCTCCACACTCCTTTCCAGCCACTAAAACTGGGTTAATTAATTTGGGGGTCAGAGGGAGTGGTTGAGAATAAAGGACTGAAGGAAGGTAGACATGGAGTACAAGGCTTCCCTAACAGCATCCGATGTGTCCTCTCCTGTTGCCTAAATAAGCCATATTTCCCTGTCTCCTGACCGAAGGGATGAGTTGGCCCCTCATCCCTTCCCGGGGTGACTCCGGCCGGGCTCCGCGGGCGCCCCGGGTCCGCGGTGACGCCGGTGCCGTCTTCCCGCAGGACCCAGCGCTTCCTGCAGGGCCCCTTCGCGCCCGGCGCGGACCTGTCGTGCCGCACGCTGGCCGTGTCCCCCGACGGCAAGCTGCTCTTCAGCGGGGGCCACTGGGACAACAGCCTCCGCGTCACCGCGCTGGCCAAGGGCAAGGTGGTTGGCCACATCACCCGGCACATAGGTACGACGGCGCGGGCGACGGGGCCGCATCCGCGGACTCTCCGGGCCTGGA